TACATAATTTTTTCAGGAGAACAGTCCTAAAAAGAGCGGGCGATGCCGCGGACTTTGAGTTGTTCAGGGACTATGATCCCTCGACGAGGATGGATATTGGGTAAACGGCCGATCCGAATGATGCTGGGTGACGATAGACTCAGTTCAGAGCCAATGGCTAAAAAAGAAACTTCAAATATCTTTGAGCCCCCTTGTGCGTTGAGTAACATGGACGTTGATGATGATGAGGAAACCGCGTAGCATCAACCGTAGAAATGAATGCCGAATAGACGTCAACCAAGACGGTACGCGAGCGATTGTTAATATCACACCTATTTTATCTTTTCCTATTGGATCAATATTAGTGAATGGGCCCCGGAGAGGATAGTATCTGATGGTCGGCGAAATAGATATAATGGACAAGGAGCCGGTGAAAGCCAAGTCGTCGAACAGAGATGAAGCCCGCCCGAGTGCCATCAGTGGAGACCGGCCAAAGCTGCAGGAAAAAAGCGGGCAGCACTGTCATCAACGCTGCACGGGCGCCAGGTCCCCGGGGCCCCGCCGTCCCTTGGCCGAAAGGAAACCCGCTAGAACTTCCCGCAATCAATTTAAAGCTCTCCAAGCTTCCAGCTCCCAAGTTTCTTAGCTACTCCCGTCCCCGAGACGCTCTCTATTCACTTTGACAACCGCGAGATTTATTCCATTTCAGGCAACTTCTTCCCTCCCCAATAGGCCCCTCCGAAAAAGAAAAAAAGACAGAAAGACAGAAAGAGATGGCTTCCACAAGGAGCGTATGCGCCAACGCCCTCCGGGCAAGCAGCCAGCTCGCCCGCGCCCCGACAGCGGCGGCCACGACGAGACGGTCCTTTGCCGCCGCGGCGACGTCGAATCTCCCCGCCCGCGTCGTTCCGGGGAAGACTACGACTCCTCTGCGCTCGAGAGCTGCTGCAGCAGTGACGACGAACCCGCATGCGACAACGGCACGCTTCTTCTCCTCGGAGAAGGAGAGGGTGGAGGACGACTACCACCAGATCTCGGCGAACGGGAGCAAGATCTGGGACTTTGAGCAGATGGCGGAGCTGGCAAAGGATCCCGGCAACGTCGTCATCGTCGGTACGTTTTGCTCCCTTATAGCCACAGGCTGATCATTAATGGGATTGTTCGTTCCATTTCGGCTAACTAAATCCACCCTTTCTACAACAGATGCCCGCGAACCACACGAACTAGTAGAAACAGGCCGCATTCCCACCGCGCTCAATATTCCCGTCGCCACGGCGCCCGAGAGCTTCCTCATCGCCGACGAGGACTTTGAGGACCGTTACGGGTACCCGCGCCCGAGCAAGGACACGGAGCTGGTGTTCTACTGCAAGGCCGGCGTGCGAAGCCGGGCGCTGGCGACGCTGGCGAGGGATGCTGGGTGGTCCAAGGTCGGGGAGTACCCCGGGAGCTGGTTGGACTGGACAAAGAAGGGGGGAGAGGTTGAGAAGGGCGGAAAGCAGATTGGGCAGGATTGAAAGAGCATCAGGTTTTCTATCACGCGGTTGGAGTGTATGATTCAAGTCTTGAGAGGTGTGTCATACGACACGGCACACGACATGGTAAGATAGACGACGACTTTTGATCATGATATTCGTTGTACAGATATGGTACATGAAACCCTACACTCCGGCGGATGACACAGCATCCCCCATGTTCCAAAAGTAGACAAAATGCAAGTGACGAGCTCCTTTCGCACGCTCTTCTATAACAGTCTCTGAAAGGTTCTTCTAGTGGTGACTTTGCAGAACCCCAAGGGTGAATCAAAAGGTGGGAGGCGCTCCCTCGGCAGGGGGGTTAGCGGGCGTAGCGGGCGGCGCCGCGGGGTCCTTGCTCGCGACGGGACTGCCGTGGGCGAAGAAGAGGATCTTGATGGCCAGCGAGAGGCCGAGGTGGAGGGCGACGACAACGACGAGCAGAATCTTGCTTGTCTGGTGGTCGGTGGCGCTGAGGACGGGGTAGAGATTGCGGAGGAGGAAGGCGACGGAGAGGCCGCAGCCGACGGCGACGAAAACCCAGTTGAGGATGTTGATGGGGGACCAGCTGATGAGGGCGACGGGGATCCAGATGAGGTTGGCGTAGCCGTAGAGAGCCCACTGCTCGAGGAGGTTGGCGGACTCGGAGCCGAAGTAGCGTAGGGCGAGGTAGAGGGCGACAGGGACGAAGAGCGTGTAGCCGTAGATCAGACCGGCGGCACCTGTGAGGAGTAATGTCAGTGATCATCATGGAGGACTGTAAGCTAATTGTCAAGGAGTCTCACCACTCAAGAGCTTGAAGTCATAGGCGAACGGGCCTGACCCTGTGCTCGCAAGGTACTGGCTGATGGTGCCGCCGAGGAAAAGGATCAAGACAACGGTCGTGGCGATCCAGAAGGGGCCGTAGAGGTCAGGGTTTCCCTCCAAAACGTCGAGGAAGTTGGCGCGCGGGTACAGCGCAGCCCAGCAGCGAGAGAGTACGGCCGAGGTGTCGACGTCAAAGTACTGGGCGTAAAAGTTGATGCTCCAGAGGAAGCGCTTCGAGGAGCCGGACGATGCTGTCGCAGGCGGCGGGAGGCCTGACGCAGGCGCCTTGCGAGTACCCGGCGTCGTGTCATTGAAGTTAGAGCTGTGGAATTCGAGATCGTCTTGGAGGTCGGTATGGCCGAGGTCGCCCTGCGAAAGGAAGTGCGTTTAGTCTTGGGGGCGTTTGCGAGGAAGATGTAAGGAAGGGAGCTCTCACCTCGTCGTCGACGTCCACGACGGCGTCGTATCCGGACCCGGACCGTGACATGATTGGCTATTGAAGCTGAGAAGAATCCGACCTTGGTTTCCGACACTACTTTATGCCTCGTCGAGTTGTGGAAATGAAGCTCTGGGCTGCTGGGTCGTCGTCGTTGGAGATCGTGAAGTCGGACAAGTTGGGACGGTCGATACGTGTGTACGTACGAACACGGAACACCTCGAGCTTTGGACAAGGTGTCGTAATCCCACATACGCAGTTTGGCCCTGCAGCTCCCTGGGAAGAAAAGTCTCCACTAAGGGACACATCCCTGTAAGAGCCATACCAACGTTGCACTAATGCGGATAAATCGCGTCCCAGTTTTATGCAAGCACACGCCATTTCACTCCATGTGCTCAGAAGAATTTCGATAGAAGCATTAGACACTATCTGATAAGATCAAAATCACGAAGTTCACATGCATGACGTGCATCACCAAATTAAACGAGATATGGTTCTGAGGCTCTGTATTTCGCTACTGTGCTGATTTTCCACTGTAGTCAATGGAGCATTGTGAGGCAGGTCAGTCGCCATCCCGCATCCATCATAGTACGTCTCTCATGCTCATTAGCATCTCCATGCTGCACTCAGGACGCCTAGGCGCGCTCTCTCGCCAAACGATTTTTCTCTCAGCCTCCAAGCATCATTTGTTGATGTACGACAAGGCATAAACGGGGTAGTCCGGGTTGTGTTTCCTTTGGACATTTGAGGTAGGAGGGCGACCAATTCAGTTTTTATTCGACGAACTGCTTGCCGATGGAAAGTAATGCTACCACAAAGCCCAGGAAAATTCGTATCCCTGCCATCCTCTCCAGAATGCCAGAACCCGTGACGCCGCAACCGTAATGAATCGTCTATTTGAGCTTCTTCTTGGGGCGGAGCTGGTTGGTGTGACCGCACTTGCGCTTACGGCAGTTGGTCGCACGGGGGGGAAGACGAGCCTACGTGATTCCATGTTAGGTTTTGCTTAGGTCGCGCGGCCGACCTGGGTTGGCGGGGGATGAGAGTAGAGGCTACTTACGTAGCACTTGCGGCAGATCATCTTGTCGCAGTTGAACTTGGAGGCAAGAGCCTTGAGGGAGGGCTCAATGATACCACCACGGAGGCGGAGGACCAAGTGGAGGGTGGACTCCTGTATGGTGTGTCAGTTTCCATGTCTCTTTGACCCATCATATCTTCATAATCCCCAGCGACCCGGATGCTTTTATCCCCCTCTTTTCAAGTGCCCCGCGCAATGAGACTAACCTTCTGGATGTTGTAGTCGGAGAGGGTGCGGCCATCCTCAAGCTGCTTGCCAGCGAAGATCAGGCGCTGCTGGTCAGGGGGGATGCCCTCCTTGTCCTGGATCTTGGACTTGACATTGTCGATCGTGTCGGAGGACTCGACCTCAAGGGTAATGGTCTTACCCGTCAGGGTCTTCACGAAACTGCAACCACCATCGTCAGCACATTCGGCGTTTTCGGACTTCGTCGTCGCATGGAAAGAGATTTTGTTGCGCTCGGCATCGGGCGGGAGGGGTGTTCGGGGTTGGCTCACATCTGCACTACACGCAAAATATCGTTAGCATCGCAAAAAAATCAACAATCAGAGCAGCGGCGCGCAGCATGACGCCGTCTCGCCTTGCAGGGGGCTCTCATCACTTACTCTTGCCGACGTTCGTGAACTGGCTGTTGTTACCGAGAAAGTTCTGGTGATCGCGGCAAATAATTGGTGGGGCGGGCTTGAGAATGAGTGTTGAGGTTGCGGCGCGAGCGACCGACAAGCCCTAATTAGGGCACGCGGGTACGGACATGGTCCGAGCGTTCAGGTATGTGCGAAAGTGAGCAGGCTGCGGACGGCTCCCTGTGGAAATTACGGGTCTGCCCGGTGTCACCCACCTCACTCTTGAGTTACGGTGACCTACATACTTCAACAGGCTCATCCTCTAGTTACTCTACTATCCTTGTGTTCTTCGCCATGGAAAAGTCCATATATGCCGATGGATTGGAAGTGGTCTCTGACTCATACAAGATGCTCGACACTGGGAACAATAAGGACGAAATATACGGGTTTTACATTTCGTTCTGGACAAACACTCTTTTCTACTTTAAGGGTATCTCGACGCTGATAATTCCAACTTGTGCACTTGTGCCCATCCTAAGGAGCTGAGAACACTTACATGCCCACCAACTTCTGTCTCTTGAGAAGGGCGTATAACAGCCCGTAATGGCCTTCCTCAAAACGGAGCATTATTCGGTATATGTCGGCTGCTCAGTATCCGACTCCATAGAAACGAAAGAACGCGATCGTTCACGTCTTTCGCTGGCTGCCCTGCGTTGCTCCTTTTGCCAGGTCACAATGTGGCCCTCGAGCATATTGACGGCTCGCACCAACATTGGAACGGACAGCCCTGCCAGCCGCGCCGCCAGCTGAAAGAAGTCCCTGCCTATGGGAGGAAGGTCTTCCTCAGATTTGTATGAGTGATATCGACTGGTTCGCAAACTTTCCTCCTCAAGTCTGTCGTGCGCATCTGAGTCGACAAACGATGCAGCCTGTGTTTGGACAGCGCGCAGCCTTCCAGCCATCTCATCCCCTGTTGTCTCGGACTCTGTATGTTTGGGGGCTTGCTCGTCGACGGGAAAGTACCTCGCGAGTAGGCTCTCTTCGGCTAAGTCGTTGTCAATTACCGGATCAGCAAACCCAAGGGTACTTTGACTTACTGTGTGCTTCAGTCAGCAGTGAAAGGTGTGTAAAGTACTCATCTAGCTCTTTCGGGCTCATTGATGTGATCTGAGACGCCGTAACGCCTGTGTAGTCAACGGTAGATGTAGCTTCATCTGGAGCCGAGGCTGGAGTCATTATCCTCTTCCATTCTTTCCAGTCAAGCTTAGGCACGATGAAGTTGTTCTCGTCCTGGGGAGCTGGCATGTTGTCCTCGAGTGGAAAGCAGTGCATCGTAGCAAGGACAAGGATGGTGACCAAGAGAACTTCTGGTTGATTTATGAGACGGATTCGGGTCTTCTCCAGTGGAAAACTGAAGGTTAAGTTGGCGATGGGCGGAACGCGGCGCGCAATCGCCACCGTCTCAACTGGGAGTCGTCAGTCGAGTCCATCTTTTGTCATGGCCAGAGGACCTACTAGGCAGGCCCAGCTCGCGTGCATACTGTAATGTCATCAGGACATCGTTGAGCGGTGGGAAGATCATGCCGTAATTGAGATGATACGACAAAGCCAGATTCATGACTGAAGCGTGCAGTTCTCCATTCTCGAAGGCAGCTAGGTTTGTCGACTTCAGCGGTATTGTATACCAAGTTGGCAATCGATCACGCATCTCCTGAGGTAGCTGGCGATACTGTGACTGGTTAGGGAGGATTCGAGTATGGCCGAAAGTAGTACCAACAGCTTCTTTGTACGGGATGCTCCCCCCTCTCGCCCACTTGCAAAGATCACCAATACGCGTGGGTATTCTCAGCAACATGCACCCCAGGAAGCAAAGGCCTAGTGTGTCAATCATTCGGGGTGCCGGCCACTCGCTCCCATTCTCTCCTGTCCATCTTTGTGCTCGTCGGTTCCGAGACTGGTGCTCCTCATCCTGGGCGAGGTCGAGTTGCGAGCTGAATAGCGAGGGCTCTCCCTCCGAGGCCGAGTCATCCTGAACAGCTGTCGCAGCTCCGGAGATGCGAAGATCCCAAAGATCGCGGACAGTCGTCTCTAGTTCCGGCTTATGTTCCTTTGTGGTGACTAGCCATATTACCTGCTCTCTGAGGATGAGCTGCAGGCACTCAAGATACAAATCTCGTGCTTGCTGGCCGGTGAGCACTCGTCTGATGCGCTCCTTGATCTGCTTCTCCTTCCGAGCCACGCGACCCTTCTGGCCGAAATCCTCATCGCCAAGGTCAAATTCAACATATCCCTGGTTGAAAGTGTGAGCTGCGGCTCATCATAGGAGATGCAAAGCATGGCTTGGACAAACTTGAAGCTGGTGGCCTTCCTTGGCGCAGAATCTCAAACCATTTTCGAGATACCATTTGCGGGAACCGCAAAATTCACATCGTTCTCCTTTTGGAAACCTATGAAGGTCCCTCTCCGGGGCCATGGTGCTCTGACTGATAGGTTGGCCGTACTTGGTTGCAAAGTTGATCTAGGCAAAATCGTCACCAGATTGGTGAAGTTTTTGACAGTGCGCGGTGCCCGTTTCTCGGGACGCACCTTTACCAGGCAGGCGGAACCTGGCAGGCAATTTGTCACAAAACAGTCCCCGAATTATATTATCTTCAGACCAAGACTTGAGAGTGCTCAAAAGGGACTATCGAATTTAGGGATTTCAAGCATTTAGTTTTAGGTAAGTAATATGTCACATAGCTTGACCAGCTGAGTCTACCTCACTCATACTGACAGCCCACGATAGCTAAGCCGTCATCGTGAAAAGGAGCCTATCAAAACTTCACAGTTCTTACAGATGAACAAGGTAAGACTTATAAATGTAGGAGCAACAACATGCAGCTTGTAGTCGAATCACTTTCATGAGCATTACACATTTGGCGTTTTCACTAAATCTGTACGTAGAGTTTGAACGAAAAACAGAGACCGCGTGGTGGAGATATGTACCGCTTTTCCATCGGACAAATCTGCTACCACCGCGAGGCTCTCCCATTTTTTTCACCTATCCCATTGCTAGTCTGATCGTCGTTAAGAGTCTGTGGGACAGACAAAACAAAGGAAAAAAGTCGTGCGACATGTCTTGCAGTTGTCAAGTTCGCGTACCCAGTATCAAGTCCTGTCCAGATATAGCCTACGCAACGACTGACGGGAAACCGTTAATTTCGAAGCGCCAAGAAATATCGCAAGAAATGTCCCCAGTCTGCCAACATCTGCCAGCAAGGCCGCTTGAATTGAGCGCTTGTGGAAGTCATTGTCTGATGATATGGTAGAGTTGCAGCGCTTAACCCTGCTTGGGGGCCTCCTTGGCCTCAACGGCGGCCTCCTCACCCATGGCGGTAAGAATGACGACGTCTGTAGTTGTCAGTTAGTGATGACCTCTTTTGTGTTGCTCGACAAGCTTGTCGTCGTGAGGGGTGGGAAGTCTTACTGGTGTCCTTCTCGTCAATCTTGAAGAGCTTGTTGATCTTCTCACCAATCTCGCCGTCGGGAAGACGGACATCGTCCTTGAGGTCACCATCGTCGTTCATGAGGGAGAGGAAACCATCGTCGGAGATATCGATCTGTGGAGGGTGTCATGTTAGCAAACAAGGCCCATATTGGTAATGTAACGAGACTTGTGGCAACTTACGAGCTGGAACTCCTTGCGGGAGACGTTGGGGACGTCCATGTTGTGGGTGGAGGGAGAGAGATCCTCAAGCTTCTTGCCGGTGAAGATGTCGATGGCGACCAAGTGAACCTTGGCGTGACCGTGCTTGCCAGTCTTGGAGGTAGACATGTCGACGATCTTGCAGGGGCGGCCCTTGATAACGACGTGACCGTTCTTGCGCAGAGCAGAGCACTGCATGGGGAAGGTGAGAGACGCACCGGCGTCGGTGGACTCGAAGGTCATCTCATGCTGTTCGGAGATGATGCGTTAGCGGTTGAGCCAACTCAAAATATGGACGTCGTTCGGCATGATGATGGCAGGAGGATGGAATCGAAATTGGTGTGGTATTTGATGCTCGTATGCGTCGTGTGTTGCCCGAGTTTCTGTGCAGAGCCGTGGTGCGTTGAAGCATCCGCGGGGCTCTCTCGCCAATGTGGATGCGGGGTGGTCGATTTTCGCCAAAGCAACCGACATCGATCGCATTCGACCACCACAACCACCACCACCAAAAGAGACAGGGCACAGAGGGGCATAATACAGCTGTCGCAAAAGACTCACCTGGGCGTCGTCGTTGGACATTTTGAAGGATTGACTGGAAGATGTCTAAAAAATCGAAGGGAAGATGTCGACAGGCGGAATTACCCAGCAAAAGACGGCTGATATTTTTTGAGGGGGGAGAGTTGTGAAAGGAAGAGAGCGGGCAGAGGGGGGAAATGGAGGGGAAAAAAGGAAGGCGAGGCGGGAGTAGATAATTTTTTTCCTGGTTTTATTATTGGTTTTTTTCACTCCTAGGCCCAGATTCGCGCCCCTCTCATTCTCTGTCCGTGGCTTCCCAAGCGTTGTGTGGGACAGGTGCAGGGAGCACTTTCGCAGTGAAAAAAGGTGGAGTGTGGGCTTTCTTCCCTTTCTTTTCACAGATTGAACCTGTGAGGCCCCTCCCCGAGTGACATTGTCGCCGGTAGATGACTCTGCGGTGAACAAAGTACCCATCTAGGTTCTCCCGTCCATCGACCTTTGGGTCTTCCTACCTTATGCCCAAGACACCACACCGTGTAGGAGCTGGAGCTCCTTACCCGCATCACCTGGACGCCACTTGCTCGAAATTAGGCCGCTGACCGCCTGTGGAATGCCCCTATCTGATCCATCCAGGCACGCCAGGTCTACCTTAGGTAGTCGGCGAAGGTGGTTGAAGGTTTCCAGGATCCCTCCCGTCTCCCAAAGACTCAATCGGTCAAAATGACTTCCCCTTCACAGCGTTACCCGAAGGACAATGAAGCACATGGGCACAGTCCACCGGCCCTGTGGCAACGACCTTTTTTGGGCGCTAATGCCGCCATGCCAAAACCTCGCGGGCCAGCAACCCTTGCTTCTTTCTGCCTTACCTGCCATCCTCGTTGACCTCCGATATTAGCCTTCCACTTTGGCAAGAGAAGGTCCGGACTACGGGAAGGGATTTGAACGGTATGCGACGGACTTTCGAACATCCTAAAGGGAGGCTGTCGTGCCTGAATACCTACTCGACTAGGCAAGGGATATCATTGTCCAGACATTGTGGCAGGTTCTTCTGTGCCAACTTCCTGTATCTAAGACGAGAGCTTCGTGAGGTATACGCACCCATTCGCGTCCAAAGATACACCTTCACATTGTAACATGCAGGAGCTTCCCTCCGACACAGTCCCAGCAGTCCGAGCTGCTTTTACCTTGGAGATGGCGCGGATTCTGCACGACATGTGTGCAGCCTCTCTCCCATCCATACCAGACGCATCAATGGACCGTTAATTGCTCTTCAATCGCCCACCCAAAGTCCTGCCCCGCACGTTTCCAGGTTGTTTGCCGCCGGCCCTCACTCCCAATTCTGCCCCGCACTTTCCAGACTTCGACCCCTCGAAGACAAAGGGCCCGACCCCTGCCGCGCCACAGGGAGCTCCCGTGGGTACGTATCTTGTGGCTGGTGCTTGTCATTGATCGCTCACCCAATGACAACACGTCGCTCTCCTAAGGCCGTCCAGCCTTGTCTACTGCCTCCTGGGGGTAAGGTAGGTAACCAATGTCACAGGTGTACATCTTTCAAAGAAGCCAGACGCCGATCCCGCGATTCTACAACACCACCCGTGCGATTTGCGAACCCTCGATGACATGGTGCCCCGTCCTGTCGACCACATCGCTTCTTAGCTTATCCATACCACAAGTCCACCATGTGGCTTGATCGGCTTGCAGCACAGTCGAACTCGTCTCCCTCAGCGTCGCAGCCTGGCAGTCGACCATACTCTCCTCTTCCGCGACGAACCTCCAGTAGCCCCTATGTGACCTCTCAACGACCTGGCATTACACCAAGAGGCTCACAACTCTCGCTCGTCTCCAACGATTCCTCGAACTCCTTCCTAGCTTCACGGAGGGTCAATGGCTCAGGCTTGAAACAATCCCAGACAACCTACGATGGACCGGATTCGGTTGAGATCTTGGGCCAGATCCTAGATACAGCGCCCGCATCCGAGGCAACAACGATCACAATAAGCGAAAATGACCTCGAACTAGACTTCAGTTTTGAAGGTCTGAGCTTGCGAGAGCTCGCAAGCTCCGACGATATCGATAGAAGCGATGCGGATAGCTACCGGCGGCAAACCGCAGAGGAGTGTATGAGCTCCTCATTGGCTGGCACAACTGTCCGCAGATTGCTAATCTTTGAGTTTAGTCGAAGCGAGTAAAGCCCAGTTCGAGGACCTGCATCGATCAATTGCAGCATGCGATGGGGTTCTAGGCTCAGTAGAGACCAACCTGACCAGCTTCCGTAATGACCTCGCGGCCGTCTCTGCAGATATCGAGACCCTGCAATCACGTTCTGCGGCGATGAACGTGAGGCTAGACAATCGAAAAGCAGTTGAAAAGGCGTTTGGTCCAGTTGTCGAGGAGCTCAGCGTCTCACCCCATGTGGTGTCCAAGATATCTGAGGGCCAAATTGACGAGACATGGGTCAGGATGTTGGCGGAAGTGGACAAACGAGCTACAGCATACAAGAAGTCGGTTTCGAACCAGGGAGAGAGCAAAGCTTGGGCAGACCTTGGCCCTCTACTGGAAAAACTGACAATGAAGGCCGTCGAGCGGATACGGGACTTCATTGTTGCCCAGATCAAGGCCTTACGATCCCCTCACATCAACGCCCAAATAATCCAACAGCAGAACTTCTTGAAGTTCAAAGACTTATACACTTTCTTGCACAAGCATCATGCTACTCTCGCAGAAGAGATCAGTCAGGCTTACATGAACACCATGCGATGGTACTACGCAAATCAATTTGGACGATATCAAAGGGCATTGGAGAAGCTTAAGCTGCACATTCTCGATAAGAACGACGTCCTTGGACACGACGAACCCACGCGAAGAGCCACGGTGTTGTCTTCCACAAAGCCAGCTGGGCCGCCTCATGATGCCTTCAACTTAGGACGGCGTATTGATCTCCTGAAATCGGGTAACGCTGCTGCGATCTCCTCTTACCTGGCCGAGGAAGACCAGACAACACATTATCTAGAGGTACCTTTCAGGAACTTCAACCTGGCACTCATAGACAACGCTACTGCGGAGTACACATTCTTGGCCGCCTTCTTCTCGCCCCCATTGTCTCTGCAAGCGGTGTCACGACAGTTCAACTACATCTTCGAATCAACATTTGCGTTAGGCAAAACCCTCACCAAGACGCTCACTGCTGAGTCGTACGATGCCCTGGGGTTGCTGTTAAGCATCCGCATCAACCAGCATCTTGCTTTTGAACTGCAACGGCGCAAGGTGCCAGC